ACGCTCGGGCCCGGATGAGAGTGTCCTGTTCGCGTCGTGCCGCTCTGGGCCATCGCATCGGGGCCGTGTCCTGGAGCTGGAGGGTCGCGGGGCCGGGGCGGGAGGCAGGGCTGTCCCGGAGGGCCGGCAACCGCTCGCCACGACCGTGTGCGAAGCCTGGAGAGCCGTTCCCAGCCTCGCTGGCGCGTGTCTCGGTGCCTTGGCTGTGGTTAAGGTGAAACCTGTCAGTTATGACTTGGGACTTTGCCACATCTCCTGTGTCCCCTAACGACTAATGTCCTCCCTCCGTGTTTCCACAGATTGCCTGGGGACTCCCATCGTCTACTCGCCGGTCAAAGCAGACCTGACTGGAAATATCAAGGTAGGAAAGGGCGCAGGAGGGCATGGGGGGGGCAAACCCCCAGGCAGGGATGCTGTGAGATCGGAGAGGCAAGAGCCAGAGGCATTTAAAAAGGGCTTTTCTTCCCATGGGGGGCTTTCAGGCTCAGCGGCAGCTCATCTCTGTGTGTTTATTAACGATATTCCTTGGTGAAAACACCATTTAGCAGCCGCGGTGCTCACTACAGACACTGCGTTTCCCCACACCGCAGCTGTGAGCGCCAGCCCGCTGCTGCTCTGCCCGGCAGCTCCCGGGAGCCAACCGCCCTTCTCTGTCCTCTCAGAAAATCCGGGCGGTTTACGACTCCAACCCCGCCAAGTTCAAAACGCTGCAGAACATCCTGGAGACGGAGAAGGAGATGCACGGCTCGGCCTGGCCCAAGACAGGCGCAACGCTGGCGCTGATGTGGTTGAAAAGGTGACTCACGGCGTCGGGGGCTGCTCCGGCCTGTGTCCCGGCGTGCAGGGAGCCCGCCAAACACCCTCCGGAGGCTGCTGCGGCGAGCCTGGGTCCAGCTGGTCCCTTCAGGCTGGATCTGGCCAGGGCAATGCGAGGTGCTAAATTTCGGGGAGCGCAGCCCAGCACGCTGGCTGCACAAGCAGGAGCACGCAGGGGCAGGCATCAGCCCTGTGGGGAGGGTGTGCTGCTGGGGCTGGGGTTTTTTGGGGGACCTGGATGCGTCGAGCTTGGGGGGTGCCTTGCTGGAGGCTGGGAAGCAGCATCCCCTTCCCCACCCCAACATCTCCGCTCCTCACAGGGGCCTGAAATTCATGCTGGTGTTGCTGCAGAGCATCTCTGATGGTGAGCGGGATGAGGAGCATCCGAACCTCATCCGAGTGAACGCCATGAAGGCTTACGAGATCGCGCTGAAGAAATACCATGGCTGGATGCTGCAGAAGCTCTTCATGGTAAGCGTTCACATCTCCGTGGAGGAAAGCAGCCGTTCTTTAAGCCCAGCTGCTCCGTTAGTTGCCTCTAGCAGTGATGTGTTTTAGGGGAATAAGGGCTTGGAAACGTGGGAAGCTGCTGATCTATTTTGAGCAGTATTTCCAGGGGACCCTCTCTGCGCATCCCTGCTTCTCCAAGTGTCCAGCCAACGTCCCCAAGGTTGTTCCCGTGTGCCTCCGAGTGCCCAGAGACCCCGTGGTGTCCCATTTGGGCGCACGGGAACAACCCAAACTGGGGTCTCCGGGCACTCGGAGGCACACGGGAACAACCCAAACTGGGGTCCTGCTCGTGGGATGGGGAGGACTTTGGGTTTGTGGGAGCCTTACAGCTTCTTCCCCTGTTTTATAGGGCTCGGTCTACGCTCTTCACTACAAATCGGATTTGCTGCAAGCATTCGGGCAGTGGACAGAA